GATCGACGGTGGCTTCGCATTTAGTAGCTTTCTAATAGCGGGGGGGGGTAGGAAGCTACTAGGAACAAGTGCATCGCTAGTAGTAACAAGTGCCTTACTACTAGGAACAAGAAGCTATTAGAAACAAGTGCATTACTAGTAGTAACAAGAAGAATTTAATTTGAATTGTAACTGCTAGCAAAAGAATCTACTAGGACCTTTTCGCGCGCGCGCGGGGGGGGGAGGAAGCTACTAGGAACAAGTGCATCGCTAGTAGTAACAAGTGCCTTACTACTAGGAACAAGAAGCTATTAGAAACAAGTGCCTTACTAGTAGTAACAATAAAAATTTAATTAGAATTGTAACTACTAGCAAAAGAATCTACTAGGAACAAGTGCATCGCTAGTAGTAACAAGTGCCTTACTACTAGGAACAAGAAGCTATTAGAAACAAGTGCATTACTAGTAGTAACAAGAAGAATTTAATTAGAATTGTAACTGCTAGCAAAAGAATCTACTAGGACCTTTTCGCGCGCGCGCGCGGGGGGGGTAGGAAGCTACTAGGAACAAGTGCATCGCCAGTAGTAACAAGTGCCTTACTACTAGGAACAAGAAGCTATTAGAAACAAGTGCCTTACTAGTAGTAACAATAAGAATTTAATTAGAATTGTAACTACTAGCAAAAGAATCTACTAGGACCTTTTCGCGCGCGCGCAGGGGGGGGTAGGAAGCTACTAGGAACAAGTGCATCGCTAGTAGTAACAAGTGCCTTACTAGTAGTAACAAGAAGCTATTGAAACAAGTGCCTTACTACTAGGAACAAGAAGCTACTATTAATTTGGAGAATGTTTTCTTCACACCTTTGAGACCATGGAGTCCCCAGTGGCTTTTGTCAGGAAGTCGACGGGAAGTTTATGCCAGGCGAAAACCCGCAGAGTTTATCAGATTTGCAACATGAAAAATGATTTGAAAACGGAAGGGCATCACAGCAGTTGAACATCATGCAATCGCGGTGTTTTCAACTTGTCAGATTTGAAGTATCGCTACCTCTCAGAGGATATCCCGACGGGACTATGCTTTGTCGGGACTGTGGAATTGAAGTGCTCAAACTCAAACGGACAAACGAAGTTTTGTCTTGATCTTTCTTGGAGGCCATCGCTACTAGTAACAAGAAGCTACTAGTAACAAAGGGCATCGCTACTAGGAGCAAGGACGCTACAAGTAGCTCCTGGCATTACTACTAGTAACAAGAAGCTATTAGTAACAAAGGGCATCGCTACTAGGAGCAAGGACGCTACTAGTAGCTCCTGG